GACAGCTAACACCTATCCTTCTCAAGCTCTTCCCAAAAATTACAGAGGAAGGAACACTCCCAAACTCATTCTACTAGGCCACCATCACCCTGATACCAAAACCAGACAAAGATATTAAAAAAAAAGAAAATTACATACCAATATCGCTGATGAATATAGGTGCCAAAATCCTCAACAAAATACTAACAGATTCCAACAACACATTAAAAGGATCATACATAATGATCAAGTGGGATTTATCCCAGAGATGCAAGCATTCTTCAATATATGCAAATCAATCAGTGCGATACACCATATTAACAAATTGAAGAATAGAAACCACGTGATCATCTCAACAGATGCAGAAAAAGCTTTTGACAAAATTCAACACCAATTTATGATAAAACCTCTCCAGAAAGTGGGCATAGAGGGAACCTGGCCATATATGACAAACCCACAGCAAACATCATTCTCAATGGTGAATGAATTTTCCTCTAAAATCAAGAAAAAGACAAAGATGTCCACTGTCATCACTATTATTTAACATAGTTTTAGAAGTCCTAGTCACAGCAATCAGACAAGAAAAAGAAATAGAAGGGATACAAATTGGAAAAGAAGAAGTAAAACTGTCACTGTTAGCAGATGACATGATACTATACACAGACAATCCTAAAGATGCCACCAGAAAACTACTAGAGCTAATCAATGAATTTGGTAAAGTTTCAGGATACAAAATTAATACACAGAAATCTCTTGCATTCCTATACACTAACAACAAAAGATCAGAAAGAGAGATTAAGGAAACAATCCCATTCACCATTGCAACAAAAAGAATAAAATACCTGGGAATAAAGCTACCTAAGGAGGTAAAAGACCTGTACTCAGAAAACTATAAGACACTAATGAAAGAAATCAAAGATGACACAAACAGATGGAGAGATATACCATGTTCTTGGATTGGAAGAATCAATATTGTGGAAAGGACTATACTACCCAAAGCAATCTACAGATTCAATGAAATCCATATCAAGTTACCAATGGCATGTTTTACAGAACTAGAACCAAAAAAATCTTAAAATTTGTATGCAGACACAAAAGACCTCAAATAACCAAAGAAATCTTGAGGGAAGAAAACGGAGCTGGAGGAATCGGACTCCCTGACTTCAGACTCTACCACAAAGCTGCAATGGTCAAGACAATATGGTACTGGCACAAAAACAGAAATATAGATCAATGAAACAGGATAGAAAGCCCAGAGTTAAACCCACGCACCTATGGTCAACTAATCTATGATAAAGGAGCAAGGATATACAATGGAGAAAAGACAGTCTCTTCAATAAGTGGTGCTGGGAAAACTGGACAGCTACATGTAAAAGAATGAAATTTGAACACTTCCTAACACCATACACAAAACTAAACTCAAAATGGATTAAAGACCTAAATGTAAGACTGGACACTATAAAACTCTTAGAGGAAAACATAGGAAGAGCACTCTTTGACATAAATCACAGCAAAGTCCTTTTTGACCCACTTCCTAGAGTACTGGAAATAAAAACAAAAATAAACAAATGGGACCTAGTGAAACTTAAAAGCTTTTGCACAGCAAAGGAAACTGTAAACAAGACATAAAGACAACCCTCAGAATGGGAGAAAGTATTTGCAAACAAATCAACAGACAAAGGATTGATCTCCAAAATATATAAACAACTCATGCAGCTCAATATTAAAAAAACAAACAACCCAATCAGAAAATGGGCAGAAGACCTAAATAGACATTTCTCCAAAGAAGACATGCAGATGGCCAAGAGGCACATGAAAAGCTGCTCAACATCACTAATTATTAGAGAAATGCAAATCAAAACTACAATGAGGTATTACCTCACACCTATTAGAATGGGCATCATCAGAAAAATCTACAAACAACAAATGCTGGAGAAGGTGTGGAGAAAAGGGAACCCTCTTGCACTGTTGGTGGGAATGTAAATTGATACAGCCACTATGGAGAACAGTATGGAGGTTCCTTAAAAAACTAAAAATAGAAATACCATATGACCTAGCAATCCCACTACTTGGGCCTATACCCAGAGAAAACCATAATTTAAAAAGACACATGCACCCCAATGTTCATTGCAGCACTGTTTACAATAGCCAGGTCATTGAAGCAACCTAAATGCCCATCAAGAGACTAATGCATCGGGAAGACATGGCACATATATACAATGGAATATTACTAAGCCATTTAAAAGGAACGAAACTGGGTCATTTGTAGAGACGTGGATGGACCTAGAGACAGTCATACAGAGTGAAGTAAGTCAGAAAGAGAAAAACAAATATAGGATATTAACACATACATGTGGAATCTAGAAAATAGTACAGATGAACCCGTTTGCAAGGCAGAAATGGAGACACAGATGTAGAGCACAAACGTATAGACACCAAGGGGGAAAGCGGGGGGCGGGGGGTGGTGGGATGAACTGGGAGATTGGGATTGACATATATACACTAATATGTATAAAATAGATAACTAATAAGAATGTGCTGTAGAAATAAATTAATTTAATTTAATTTAAAAAAAATAAAAAGAAAGAATTTAACTCAGAGCTTCCTGGTAGACACTTAGAAAATACATATAAATTTATTTATTTATCCTCCAAGTTTACATGAAAATTTTAATTGTCCATAATTTAAACTAAATAACATTAAACACAACTGCCATATGAAATTTAAATTACTGGGGAAAATTAATGTAAGATATATAAACCCTTTTAAAAAATTTTAATAGATTTATTTTTTAGATTCACAGCAAAATTACATGGAAGGTACAGAGTTTTCCCATACACTCCCCTGCTCCCACACACTCATAGCCTCCCCCGTTATCAACATCCCCCACCAGAGTGGTACATTTGTTACAATCAGTGCACCTACACTGACACATTATAATCACCCAAAGTTCATAGTTTCTTTGTTTATTTTTTATAAAATTATTTATTTTATTTATTTTTGGCTGTGTTGGGTCTTTGTTGCTGAATACATGCTTTCTCTAGTTGCGGTGAGCGGGGGCTACTCTTCGTTGTGCTGCATGGGCTCTAGGTGTGCGGGCTTCAGTAGTTGTGGCTTAGCAGGCTCTAGAGCACAGTAGTTGTGGCGCACAGGCTTAGTTGCTCCGTGACATGTGGGATCTTCCCAGACCAGGGCTCAAACCCATGTTCCCTGCATTGGCAGGTGGATTCTTTAACCACTGGGCCATCAGGGAAGCCCCAAAGTCCATAGTTTCCACTAGGGTTCACTCTTGGTATTGTGCCTTCTATGGGTTTTGACAAATGTATAATGGCATGCATCCCCACCATCACCATATGATACAGCATTGTTCCACTGCTCTAAAATTTCTCTGTGCTCTGCTCATCATCCCCTTCTCCTCATTAACACTTGGCAATCATTGATCTTTTTGCTGTCTCCATAGTTTTCTGGAAGCCATTTTTAAAAGAGAAACGATATAGTAAGTGTTCATCAGAAAATAGAAGACATAAAATTTTCTCCAAAGAAACAAAATTTTTATTGGCCTGAAATTCTATAAGAAATTACTTTATGGTATCAAAACATATACATCAGAAAACATCCACAACAATCTTCCAGAAAGTGCAGGTGCAGATCTTATTTAACTATATCTTATAATAAACTCATTTAAGCTGTAGGTCCAACTTAGTAAGAGAAGAATCTTCCAGGTTCTAAGTTAAGTTCCAAGAGACTAACTTGATCCAAGGTTAATATCTGGGAAATCAAGAGGAATTGTTAGATAGCACATCCCCTTATCTAGGTTGGCTTCCATAAATATCATTTAAGAGGGATTTTTATAAGCACTGAAGTTTTGCCTAAAGAATTAGTCTTCCATGTTGTTTGAGAACAGATCCATGCTCTAGAGACCAGAAGAGTAGGTTGATAATTTATTATGAAAGGTGAAAAGCTTAACTAGTACTTCCCCCCGTGTGGCAGTGGGATGCAAGAGTATTTTAGGCACCTTTGAATTTGCCCAAATACTTTGATAAAAGCTAAATTGAGATTAGAGATTCACAACACAGCATTGTCAGAGATGGTTTAGGCATAGAAAATATTCAGGCAAGTGTTTGCAGTTGCCTGTCTTAGACATCAAAAAATCTTAGAGAATCATTTAATTCCCAACAGTAAAACCAATCAGTATTTGTTGAGCACTTATTACATGTACCATGTGCTTGACTAGGTACTTTACACAATTTATCTAATTTAATTGGGTGAGTTATACATTAAGAATTCCCAAATAAATATATTGACTTACTGTATGATGAAAATCATAGACTAAGTGAATTTTGGAGAATGATTTTCAAGTACAATGATTTTTCAGTGATGTCATAGTTAGTGTTAAGTTTTCTTTCTGGCAGTAATTAAATACTAAGTTTACTGATTTCTTGAGGCTATGGCAAAGACAATGCTAGATATTCCATTAAAAGTTTTCATTTTCCTCCTTGGCACACTGGAAAAATATATTTTCCAAATTCTCTTGCAGTTACATTGGAGCCATGTAACTAGGTAGTGGCCAGCGGAATGCCACAAACCCCCAGGTATAATTGCCTGGGCTCTCTCTCTCCCTTGGCCACGTGGCTACAGGAGAACTCCAGGAAGATAAAACCACAGGACAGAAGGGGCCCAGCTGCCCAAATAGCCACTTGCAAAGGATCACTTAGGAGAGCTGTCCAACCTGCGTTAAATTTTTGCACTAATGAAAGGAACTGAATTGTGTTAAACCAAAGATATTAGGAGTAATGTGTTAAAGAAGCTGGCCAGTGTTACCACTCTTGGTTTTGTGCTACTAATCATTAAGATACAAATTTAAAACAGCTGAAAGGTAAGAGGCTAAACATAACTATTTCATAATTCTTGTAACTGCTTTCTAATGTGTTGGTCAGCCATTCATGCCTATTTCAATTCTTCCAGTGATATTAAAATAGAATTGAAGGCCTATCAAACAAAGTCTTTCATTGTCTTTGCAGAATTCCTTGAAGATGGATGAGAATCATTGACAGTGAGTACAGTTGTCCTTCCATATCCGCAGGGGATTGGTTCCAGGACCCCCACGGAGACCAAAAGCCACAGATGCTCAAGCTCCTTAAATAAAATGGTGTAGTACGGTTGGCCCTCCCTTATCCGTGGGTTCCCACATTTGCAGATTCAACCAGTGGTGATCCGTCTTCAGTTCCATCTTTGTGACCACCCTATTGGCCTAGTGTCCAGTCTCTGCAAGGGACATGCGCAGTCACTGAACTCAGGTTGTTCCAAAGCTATGGTTTGCCATCTGGCATATTTGGTTCTCCCTGTCTAAATGCAGTTTACCAATCAGGGGTCCATTTTTACCAGCCACATAGCTACACAGTTCACAAATCACCTTATCGGGTTGCCAGGGGAACAATGCTAAAAAGTTAACATAAGGTCAAATTCTCATGAAGGATGGGAAAGGATTTTGTTAACCGTTTACCCACATAGAGGTTTCTGTCAACTTGACTGTAATGGATTCTTTTAATATATTCCTAGATTGTACTTACTAATCATTTATTTAGGGCTTTTGCATTGATATTCATATCTGTACATGTGTGTATGTTTGTGCACATATGAAAAGGCTATTTTTTCAGGTGTAGATATCAATGACTTCTCAGGAATAATTCGTAAGCATTTCTTTTTTGATATTTTAGAGGAATTTAAATAGTATTAGAATTATCTGTTCTTTGAAGGGGTGGTATGCTCTGATTGTGGTATAGCTACAGCTGCTGTGTGTAGGCTGGAAAGCTTGTGACTCACGTTATTTTGTAAAATTATTACTGTGCTCGCTTGGAAGGTACAGTATATCCAGACAAAAGGAATATCATTATAGAAAATAAGAATGTTAGTATATTTGCTGCTCCTTGTTGCTTTTACAAGGTATCTTAAGAAAGGGATGGCCTCGGGCAAGAATTGGCTGTTTTACAAGCAGAAATGTCAGGAAATGAGAATGTCCAGAAATTTTGGGCCTCCCAGGGTTGAAAAAGACAACTGCTTTTATGCCCTGAACATTAATATAAATATATATCTGATCCCTGTGGCAAGGATCAGAGTAAGGGTGTGGCCCTCCCAAACAACCCTATAATTTCAGCTAGCCTCAAGGTGGCCTCCATTAAGATGAAAGAGTAAGGTATGGACACGAGGAATCAAAGAAATAAAGCAGGCTTAAGAACTAGGACTAGAAAAGACTTTGGTTATGTTATCTGCACAAGGAACTGACTGGAAGCAATTAGATCAGAAGTCTATTAGGGTTTTAAGGAGATCTTAAAGCCACAGAAACCATGAGTCTGGCCTGAAAATGTGGTCTCTCTTAGCTCCTTAAAAGCAACACTCAGGCCTTCAAATCTGTACCAGTAGAAAAAGAACTGTCAGTGATGTACAGTCCCCAAGGAAGGCATATGCTCCAATAGTCACTTCTGATGTGGCCCTAGAGGATGGATGAACGGACAAGGTAGTAGAAGCAGGGGTGACCTGATTGTCTGACCCTCCCTCTGCTGCCAGAGAAGAGCATCTCCGTAATTCTTGCTCACCTGGGGTCAGAACTGCTGTCAAGGGCTTCCCTGGTGGCGCAGTGGTTGAGAGTCCGCCTGCCCATGCAGGGGACACGGGTTCGTGCCCCGGTCCGGGAAGATCCCACATGCCGTGGAGCGGCTAAGCCCGTGAGCCATGGCCGCTGAGCCTGCGCGTCCGGAGCCTGTGCTCCACAACAGGAGAGGCCACAACAGTGAGAGGCCTGCATACCGCAAAAAAAACCCCAAAAAACAAAAAACTGCTGTGAATGAGCAGCTGTATGTTCCTCATCCTTCTCTTTTCTTAATAGGATTTTTTGAAGCAGTAATCCTGTCCCTGTGTCACCACCGCATATGGGACAGGAGGAACAATAGCTTGCTTAACAGCTTGCCTGACACTGTGAGAACTTGGTAGAGAAAACACATTTTCTCTCTCCTTTGCCCGAACACTACCACTACCCAACACCCTCACTTTATCCTGACTCTGCTCAAATGACATCTCCCAGAGGTGAACATATCACTCCACCTAAAATCACAGCCCATCTCTTTCTATCACCTTATCCTTCCTTTACTCTATTTACACCTTTATCCTCTCTTTATAGCACATATTGTCTTGCTCCCCCAATGCAATGCAAGCTCTTTCGGGGCATGACTTTGTCTTGTTGCTGAAGTCCTAGCACCTAGAAATGGCCAGTACAGGGTAGGCTTTCAATAAATATTTGCTAGGGGAAAAAAAAAAAGACTAAATAATTAAGAGCTTCTGATTTCCAGGTATTGGAAGTTGTGTGCGCTTAGTTCTATTTTGCCGTTTATCTGTATCACATTGTAACCAGCAATAGATGATTATTTGTGTGCAAGGAAATTGGGATTACTCCTTGCAAGGTGGAATTATCTGGTATGAAACCTAACCAAAACGTACTACCGGAAAAGTACAGATATTGCTAAAAGCTGTTTGGTATGGTTCTTTCTTATTTTATATATATATATATATATATTTGGCTGCATTGGGTCTCAGTTGAGGCATGCAGGATCTTTCCCTGTGGCACGTGGGCTCTAGAGCATGTGGGCTTAGTTGCCCCTCTGCATGTGGGATCTTAGTTCCCTGACCAGGGATTGTTCTACGTCCCCTGCATTGGAAGGTGGATCTTAAAAACTGGACCACCAGGGAAGTCCTCTTGTTTGTTTTTAAGACTGAGATAGTGAAATGTCACTCCCATGGGAACTCCACCTCTTTTTTGGAATGGGCACTGGTGGTCATAATAGCAGCAGATTACCCAGTTAGACCTTGGAATTCCTTTAAAGTCTCCTCACTCCATGATTCAACAAAGACTGATATAATTAGCTACGGCTGACTCAAGGGAGAAGCTAAAGTTCACCAGGCAGAATTTAATCCAACCCAATGCAATCTATTTACTATTTGCTGAATTTAAGCTTTGTGCCAGGCATTGTGCTGGGCGCAAGGGATACAATGATGACTGCCCTTGCCCTCCTATTGGTTAGATTAGTGTCTCGAGGGAACCTAGATTTGGTAGAGAAGCAGTTCTACCACAGTGCATTAAGAGTTACTCTAGGGGACGCATAGGGCTACAGAAGCACATGCCACAGGCACGCGAAAAATCACAAAGGCTTCCTTCCTGGGTAACTGTCAGCTAAGCTTGGATCCAAAGGGTAAGTGGAGAGTGTCCCTATGAAGAAGGAAGATGCTGATTCACTTTGCTGTACACCTGAAACTAACACAACATGGTAAATCAACTATATTCCAATAAAACTTAAAAAAAAAAAAAGAAGGAAGATGGACTGTTTTCTAGACCAAAGAAAATATATGGGAAAAAAAAAAAAGAGATAGGCAGAGGGGGTATTACACACTTACTCCAGACATTTGTCCTATTTTCACCTACCACTCATCCTCCTTTCGTGCTATCTCCAGTTTTTAGCCTGTAGGTTAGCCCCTTTCTCTCTAATCATCCGTTGCTCAAGCCAGGAACCTATAAACGAAGAAAATGGCTAAGGAGCAGCCACTGAAACCTGGAACCAGGCCTACGTTACACTTACAAAAATTTGATTTTCTGCAGAAAAAATATTTTGACTCCTACGTTTTTAGAAAGATCTGAAATGGATGACACCAAGCTGTTTGCCTAAAATAATGTCCCAAGCCTGAAATGGAATGGATATTTCCTGAGATTAAAATAGAAACTTGTTTTGCTAACAGAAAACAACTTGGAAATCAAAGAGTCATTTAAGTTGAAACCATTATTTTTCCTTTTCTTGCAGAAAATTCCTGTGTTTATACACACTAAGAGATAGAGATAATGAGGTCCCTCTTCCACAGAACTTTCCATTAAAAATTTAAAGTTGGAGAAATCTCAAAAAAACAATAAAGATGGGGGTGGAGTTTGTAATGTAACAAACTCATTCAATAAACATTTACGAGCACCTACTACATGCCAGGCACTGAACAAAGAAACTTGCCCTTGTAGAGTTTGCATTCTAGCAGAAAGAAGACATGCAAAACAAGAAATAAGCAAATTATATAGGAAACTAGAAGATGAGTGCTTTGGAGAAAAGACAAATTAGAACAGGCAGGGACAGGTTGCAATTTTAAATAGGGTGGTCAAGGTTCGTCTCCTCAAAGAGGTGACATATGAGCAAAGACTGAAGTGAGAAAGGGAGCCATACCGATATCTGGGTCCAGGCAGAAGTAACAGTCAACGGCCCGAGGCAAGGGGCATGCCTGGAGTGTGGGAGAAAGGCACGGAGGCCATGGATTAGAGGAGAGGTATGCGAGACCAGATCACCGGCCTGGGCAGTTATTCCGAGTAGTGCTTGGGAAGAGTGGTGACTTGATTGGACTGATGTTTGAACGTGCATTTTAGGTTAATCACTGAGTGTTTTCATTTGAACACAGTCCTTTTATAATACATTTTACTCTGCAACAACAGAACAATGATGGTTCAAAATGGTTTTCTAAATGATCTCCGCAGTATCCGGCACCACAGGACTGCTAAGTAGTAACCGCCCTCCCTCTCCGGGGGACACGTGCCCCTAAAAGGGCAGCCGTTGCTCTCCTTCTAATGTGCTCAGTGTTGAGCAGGCAGAGATGGAAACAGTCTGCACGTCTCTTCTTCAAAACTCGAAAAAGAAGCCAAGCATTTCTTTCGCTTGGTTACAAAATTTTTTAAAATCTGCCTCTGCCAACTCTGCGGGAGAAGCAAACTCCCGGAGTTTGCCTTTGCTAATTTGTCCAAGTCGTGCTGCGGTTTCACTACATGCAGACACTGCTCAGCTCCAGTCCCACAAACCTCTCTCATCTTGGACTTCGCCCTCCGGTGAAAGCTGCGGCTCGCCCCTTCGGTCACCACCTGCTCTGAAGGAACCCGCGGAGCGCCCACCTCCGCCCCGGGCCCCTTTCCTCCCCGGCTCTGCCTTTCCTGCCGAGCACCCTGCTCTCTCCAGCCCAGGCCAGGCTTGCAACTTTCCTCCCAGCCTGGCGCTCACCCCGCTTGGCTGGTCCTCAAGAGACGCTGCCTTCCCGCGGCGCCCCCGCCCCCGAGCTTCCCGCAGCCGGGCCGAGCGCCCTCACCCCTCACCCGGGGCCCCGAGAGCGGCTAGTCGGGCGCACGCGCGCCCCCCGCCCCTCCCCGCAGGCGGCGCAGCTTCCCCTGCAGCACCTCCCCTCTCGGGGAGGGAGCCGGAGGGGGCTCGGGACGCCGCGCGCAGACCTGCTCCCGCTGCGCGCCGCGCCGCCCTCCTCCGAGAGTAGCAGCAGTAGCCGCGGCGGCCGCAGGGGTTCCCGGCTGCCGCAGCTCCTCAGGGGAGCCGAGCGCGCCTCCTGCGAGCCCAGCACCCCCAACCTGCTCGCCGCGCGCAGCTGAGCCGCCGCGCGGGACTCGTCGCCCAACATGGATTTCCTCCTGGCGCTGGTGCTCGGGTCCTCGCTCTATCTGCAGGCGGCCGCGGAGTTCGACGGGAGGTGAGTCGGACCCCGGGGCACCCTCTCCTGCTCGTTGCAGCGCTAATTTCACACCGCCCTGGGGTTCCCCCTCTCTGCTCTCGCTCCAGAAGTTGGGCCACCGCACAGCCTCGGCGGGAGGAGAGCCGTCGAGCCGCCCTCTCTACCAGTGGCTGCCCGAGGCCTGGAGGGCGCGCCCCCTGCGAGTCCGGGAACCCGGCCGCGGCTCCCCGGGAGAGGCTGCGCGGCGGCGCAAGCCGCCCACCCACGGCTCGGCAAAGAGGGCTGGGAGAGAGGGGAGGCTCGAGCCGGGCGTCTGGGTTCTGAGGGCGCGGGTTAGCCGCCCCAGAGGAGGTGACGCGCGGGACATCTCTTGGCTGGGAAACTCTCGCTCTTGGTTTAGACAGCTCTGCAGTGGGGAAACTTCTAGGTGGTCGGGGCCAAATCCCGGCTGAGAGCTGTCAGGGCGACTGGGCTTCCAGGGAGGGACCTGTTTGCCTCCCCACTTGGTTTCCTTGGCGGGGGTGGGGAACTTTGCGTGCGTGCGTGTGTCTGTGTGGTGTCTGTGTGTCTGTACGCACACACAGCTCCCGAGACTTAGGGCGAGCCTGACTCCTGCGTGCTCTGACAGGTTCCAACAACCCAAGGCTGTGCTCCGCTCCGCTGTCACTCAGCCTCTCCTCCCGCCTCTGCGCGCGGAGCCCTCTTCCCCATCGCCGGACCGGTTCCCGCGACTGTGTGTGTGTGTGTGTGTGTGTGTGTGTCTCGGTTCCCGCGACTGTGTGTGTGTGCGACTGTGTGTGTGTGTGTGTGTCTCGGTTCCCGCGACTGTGTGTGTGTGTGTGTGTCTCTGTGTGTCTCTGTGTGTGTCTCTCTCTGTGTGTGTCTGTGTGTGTGTAGGGAGGGCGTGCTCGGTTACCCCACCTCGGCGCAATTGCAGACCAGAGTCGCCCCGAAACGAGGCAGGAGCAGCCAGGAGAGTTTTTAACTTGGGTCACACCGCCCTGCAGTCGCCCTCAGGCAACGACCGGCACCCACACTCCCGCCCCCGCGCAGCCGGAAAGACTGCCGCACCTGTTTTTCCTGCAATCTTGGAACGAATCAATTCCACAATTGATTGGTTTTCTTCTACCTGGAAGGAACGGAGGGAAGCCAGTGGAGCGCTGAAGAGAAGAAGCGCAGCCGCTGGTTTACCACCTGGTTGGAGGAAATGGAAAGTTCGTGGTTATTTGTCCTTTGGGCTTGGGGGCATAAGGGGGAGATGAAAGGAAGGGGAATTGAAAAGATTAGGGAGCTAAAAAAAACGTGGGTAGCGGCCAGAGGCTGTTTTATTTTATTAAAGTAATTATTTGCCCACATTCGTGTCTGTTGTGCGTTTCCTTGCACACATATTTGCAACAAGAAATACATCACATGATTATGTATAAGATTTCCATACAGCCTTAAAAAGATGTCTAAAACAGACAATTAAAATATTGACCCTGTAGGGGGAAAATGTCATTGAGGTAGGTGTGAATCTAAACAACGAACCGATTTACCAAATAAGGTGTCAAAGTGGAATCTGGTAGTAAATCTTATCCTGAAATCGAGTGCTTGCTTTAGTCCTTATTTACATTAGAGAGGACGGTAACACGAATAGTTGATGCAGGAAAGTTTCAAACCACAAGGACACTTGAGATGTTAGCTACACTTTAAACTCTCCTTGGTTTTATTTAGTCTTCTTTCTCAAGTACATTATTTTCTGGGAACTTTTTCTGAAGAAGAGTCATACCTGGAAAAGAGTTCTGTTTCATTTGATTTTGAGAAACCTCCCTTCCTTCTCCTTCCCACATGTACCTGTTATATAAGGCAGAAAAAATTTTTCTTTCTGCTTTGACATGTCTTACTTAATACTTTTCAGTTTACAGTGTATCAGTCAAAACTGACTTTCCTCTCAGGAACAGGTGTGGGCCTTTGAGGAATCTGTTTTATTTCAAGCTTCAGAAACCATCCTATGAGTGGCAGCCTTGAGAATTCTTGGTTTTAGCTGGTGCTCTTTCCTTGTAAGAAAGGCTCTTCCCCTCCCTTTCCCACCCCCCTAATCTTGGGCGGTTGTATCTGCGTTTGTCTGATGTTTGAAATTAGATCATGGCAGAACTATTTCCCTGAAGGTGTGTTATTGTTTTATTTCTTCAGGCATGGAGGAGTTCATAGAAAGTTGTTGGGTGTGATTAAAATTTTTTTCCAAAGTAATAACAAAGAGGAAATTATTTTTAATTTCGAAAGTGTCTTTATTTAATTCGAATCTTTTTGTTTGGTAGGTGGCCCAGGCAAATAGTGTCATCCATTGGCCTGTGTCGTTATGGTGGGAGGATTGACTGCTGCTGGGCCTGGGCCCGCCGGTCCTGGGGACAGTGTCAGCGTGAGTATCACCCCTGAGACTTCAGCTTCCTTTGAGGGCGGGCTGTCCACCATCCGTCATGGCTTCGCTCTGCACGTCGGAGGGCTCATTTCTGAGCAAGGCTTGGTGGTGTGGTTCTGATGGAATCTGTAGTCCCTGACCTCTTATTCTGCCACTTTCCAACCTGAGCCACCTGTAGGAAGGTGCCAGTTTTGTTATTCACAGAGAGCCACCTAGGACGCTCGTTTTAGCTTTTGTCCCCCATACCTCCAGCTCTTGTTTTCCCATCAGGCTTACTCTTCCCTTTGCTCTGGGCTCTGAGGTGGGAGTAAGATAGTGAGTCTAGACTGTATTTACACTAAATAAACTCTGAACCTTGTAGCACTTATAAATTCCTTACCATGGCTGTTGTATAAACTGGCCTATTTGTAAACCTTTTTTTTTGAAGTGAGATGGTATTGACTGGCTTCTAAATGGACCACCCAGTATAATCCAATAATACCTCTGGGAAAAACCCCATCATCTTTAAGTTCCATGAGTAATCAACATCACATAATAAGTACCCAATCAGAACACTGATTTTTATTTTACATGATCACAAATGGGTATTTTAATGGTAGAAGTCAGAGCCACATCCCAGAAGTTTGAGAAATTCATTCCCAGCATTTTATCTGGATCTTAACATTTTATCCCACTCTCCCTAACAAAAGAATCCACAAACTATCAAGTAAATTTCCGGCGTATCTTTGGAGCACGAGGTTGGCATGTCTGGTTAGATAGTGGGAACTGAGTTGGGTGTCATATATCCCAGTGTTTACTGCTGCTGAGAAAGGGGCTTAGAGAAATAGGGAAGGATAGTTAAGTCTGGAGCTGGAAAGGGAGGAGCCTGCCTTAGAGAAGTGCTGGCAGGATGAGGAATCAGGTAGATTCCAGTTTGGAAAGCTAGGCACTCCCTCAGCTATTTCAGTCTTTGAGAACTGTGCGTGATGTCTGTCCTTAACTTTGTGAAGGAGGGAGAGTGACAGCCCCAGGTTGACCTCTCTGGTTAGGGATGGAAAGGTAAAGGGGACTAAAGTTTGTCTACCTGCTCCCTGCAAGCCACTGGGCCAGACTTTTTGCACAGTTGGGTCATTGCTGCTTTTTATAAAGGCAGATGGTGGTAACTTCAGTTTTCAGTAAACAAAAGAACTAGGTTAAGTTTCTGTGCTCCCACTGGTTGGTCTATTCCCGTTGTTTTTAAGGGAAGATGGTCAAAAAAGAATGGTACCTGGTGAAATAAAGTCTTATGCCACAGGGCCAGAGGTATTTGCACAGCTGGAGGCCACAGGTGTGGAATTTGAAGAGCAATCCGGTGTTGATAAGCAAAGGGTGAAGAGACGATTCTTCTCTTGACCCAATACACACATCTCTCCTGAATAAAAAATAAGTAGTTTCTTTGCAGGAAGGGAGACAGTTTCCTCCTCCTTCACTGCCTTAATTTTCAGGACACTCCCAAAGCAAATGTTGCAGTGCTTTGGGTGTGCACAGGCCGCCAGCCCCACCCAGGACAAGGCTGCCTGGCAGAGTGCCCTGAGCTCAGTGGAGTACACCTTCCATGAAGGCAGCGTGTCAGGGCAGTCGGCAGAAGCACGCGGAGGAGTATATTTGCACTCTGCCAGATGTGCTAAAAGAATTCCGCGGAGAAAACTCGATCTCTTAGAGGTTCATCACCTGCGGAATTCCCCAGAAAGAACCTCTAGGAGCTGTTTTATGTCTCTTTACCTCGGAATTAAATTTTCTCTAATATATACTGGCTTGGCAGTTCTGAATTTGAATGAGTTTAAAGACCTTTGAAAGGTCCAGTGGCTTTACAAAATTTAAACATCCAAGTGATTTCCTAGCGTTCCACTTTCTGCACAGTAGCTTTCCCAGCAGATATGGGACACTATTATTTTCTATACCTTCATTTTGATTCTAAAAGACTGCACAGTGGTCAAATATAGTATTGGATAGTACTTATCCTTTCCTTCCTGTTACTGAATCCGAGGAAGCTACAACATGGCATGAGGTAATTACTGAAATGGTAATAAATGCGTAAGGTGATCCTGCACAAATCACAGTTTACCTTAGATTTGGTGGAAGTTTGAGAGGCAGCATAATGGAGGGAACGTGGACTCTGGAGCTAGATTGCCTGGGTTTAAATTAGTTCCACCTCTTATTAGCTGTGACCTTGATCAGGTTATTCAGTCCCTCTGTGCTTCATTTTCCTCGTCACTAAAATGGATCTAAAATAGTACAGTACCTCCTAGGACCACAACACGGCTTAAGTAAGTTATGATTTGTAAAGCACGTAAAACTAACTACTGGCACAGAATAAACACTGTTATGTGTGTTTGGTGAAATTAAAGAAATATAAAGGACTACTGCTACTGACAGTGTTCTGGGATGGGACATACCCATGCTCTCAGATTCTTTGTTCTTTAGGCATGATATATGCATTTTTGCATTTATACTGCTGAAATAAAAAATGGTTCCAAGGTTCTGTGTTGCAATAAAACAAAATGCCTTTAAACTAAAAAGGGCCAGAGAGATCTTTACCATTAATATTACAGATGGCAGAGTTGTAAAAATGAGTTCACAGATGGGTGCTGCCTTGTCTGTGTTTTATTTTGCAGAACCTCAGATGGTCCAAAAGTCTCTTGCCAGTTCAGAGATCCCCCTGTCTTTGTTTTGCTGTAAACAGGTAGAGGAATGTGGTCACCTCAGAGTGGGAAGAAAGAACGGTGGCAAAACGAGGCTTGTCGTGGACAAATGGAAAAGTCCTGATTAATTTTTAAAGAAACCTTTTGTGAAATTAAAACCTTTGTCATTATATTTATTCAAGGAAAGTACCTTGCTATTCTTTAACAGTTACATCTGGTAATGGATTACCTATAAAAATTCCAAACAGCTTCTGGGAAATCTAATGTGAAAAATGTTTTTGCCTTCCTGACCCTTAGATAATCTCAGAGTTCTTTTTCCCATGAGGAGCATTCTCCCTTCCTTAGCAAAAATGCCCTGGTTCTTGTTTTTCTGAATGATTCACTTTGGAATTTTCCTTCAAATCAGCACAGCAAAGCAAAAGGAAACTGTTCCCACCTGCGTGTAGAAGCGCCCAATTTATCCCTTAGAAGATGTGTAAGTTGGGGGAGACCATACCCTCATCGTACTGTTTGTCAGGTCCCACACCCTAGAGCACTGACCCTTGGGTGAGTGTTTACCTCCGTTTGGTTGAGCATAGGTGAGACATATTGACTCAATATTGTGTGAGTCGAGTATATGTATTTACACAAAACATGCTGCATTTCATTTTCACTTGCTGCCCACCTTTCCGTAGACTTGTTGGGAGAGGACAACGGACATGGCAGGGGGCTTGCGTTGCCCAGCCTCTCTCCTGCCTCACCAAGTCCACCCGCAAAGCCGTGTTCAACCAGACTTCCCGCCCTTCCCTCTGGGACTGAGGAAGGAAGGACCAGAGCTGCTACCCAAACAGGCACAGGAGCTGTCCTTCTGCCTCCCGCCTGTGCCACCCAATATTCCCGCCCCACTGGGGAAAGCATGACCTATTCCAGACATAGGCAGGTTATGTTTTCATTGTTCTTTTAGAGATCATACCCGTACCTTCTTTCTATCCTTTGATTCTTTGTTCTGTGTTCTTGACTTATAAGCAGATCTCTACATGTTGAGAATTCAAAATTGGGTTTTCCAGTTAATTGTCTTGGGCTTTACCTTTATTGACTAGTGATATGGCTCTTGATTGTAAACGGGAAATTTCTTAATATGTTTATAACACACCGATGCTTCCATATTTACAGCACACAGCGCCTTAATCACTTAGATTATCACAAAATACTTGTTTCTTGCTCTGTAGTTATTCTGTTTAACTTCCTTAACTTTTCCATCTTGTTAATGGCACATTTCATTTTAATTATTTTAACAGTTTCTCTACTCAAGTGGAGATCTCTGTAATAAAGGTTTCTCAGGGTTTGTATATCTGATTTTAAAAAGCCATGTATTCCGTGGAAACAGTTCTTAACTAAAAGCACTAAACAATTTGGGACAGCTGAGTGGAGCCCTGACTTTTGTACCTGATTAGCTATTTAACATTTCTCAGCTGCAGTTTTCTTATTTTACAAGTGGATTTCTAAGGTGCCCTGCAGCTCTAAACCCCATCTGAGAACTTCCTTAATATTGAAAAGGGTATATAGGATCTAGATATTGCATTTCTGTATGGTTGTCTTTCTGTTTACTTTACTTGGACAGTTGGCTCTATATGTGGCTATAACAATAGTGTTTCTGTTGAAAGCACTTTGTAAAGGTATGAAGAAAAACTCAAAATACAACTAGTTCTAGGTTTCAACAAAGCTGTTCAGTTCCTGAGTTCTTTGGCTGTCATTGAGCAATTTGTGGTTTTTGAAAGAATTTATATAAATTAGGATGGTTTTGTATCATTTTTCCTTAAGACCAGGCAAAATGCAGGTGTTTTGTTATGTTTCTTTGGAGATTTTGTTGAGAAGTGAAACCTACTCCCAGAGTTTGCTTTGCTTTATTAGTTCTAAACCTCATTTTCCCCTCCCTCCTCTCTGAAGTTAGTAAAGGCTACAACTGTACAATTGCCATGTAAAGTGAAAATTCTGGATTTTTATCAGCGCTAGATAAACTTATAGGTTAGTGCAACTTAAGGACTGAGAAACAGTAATTCATTCTGAAACTGTTTTGGAGTTGTCAAATAATTTCACTTGGATAATGTATGTTATGGCTAACGATCGTGGACCACTAGAAAGAATGATGAACAAAGCATTGAATTATTTATTTCTGTATTTCAAATGAAATGGTTATTAGTTTAAGCAGAGAATTTTGATTTGGTAAGTGAAACATTTAAGTGTTCACTTCATATTTCATTCCTTATTCATATCTGGGTTCAGAAATCAGCCTCTTAAAAGGAACATGATTTTTTAATTTTTGCTCCCTATGTCGGTCATTGATTTCCTGTCCCTAGTCACAAAAGTATATAGATTACACCCTTCTTTGATTTTTTGGATTTTGAGTACTTTCTTTAAAATAGTTAAGAGTAAACAAGAAATATTGGAAGTGACTTTTTTTTTTAATTTTTTTAATTTATTATTTATTTTATTTATTTATTTTTGGCTGCATTGTGTCCCCGTTGCTGCGCGCGGGCTTTCTCCAGCTGCGGCTTGTGGGCTGTAGGCACACGGGCTTCAGTAGTTGTGGCGCACGGGCTTTGTTGCTCCGCGGCATGTGGGATCTTCCCAGACCAGGGCTTGAACCCGTGTCCGCTGCATTGGCAGGCAGATTCCCAACCACTGCGCCACCAGGGAAGCCCTGGAAGTGACTTTTTAAAAAAATTTTTTAAATTTATTTTATTTATTTTTGGCTGCATTCGTTCTTCGTTGCTGTGCACAGGCTTTCTCTAGTTGCAGGGGGTGAGGGATACTCTTCATTGCAGTGTGCGGGGCTTCTCATTGTGGGGGTTTCTCTTTGTTGCAGAGTACGGGCTCTAGGCACACAGGCTTCAGTAGTTGTGGCACTCGGGCTCAGTAGTTGTGGCTTGCGGGCTCTAGAGCACAGGCTCAGTAGTTGGGGCACACGGGCTTAGTTGCTCCGTGGCATGTGGGATCTTCCCAGACCAGGGCTCAAACCCGTGTCCCCTGCATTGGCAGGCGGATTCTTAACCACTGTGCCACCGAGGAAGTCCCTGGAAGTGACTTTGAAGGCCACACATAGTGTTCCCCTACTCTTCCTAGTGAGTGCCTTTCCATTAGTAGTGAACAACCATGGCAACCTCCACTGGCCATGAATCAACATTTTATAGATGAAGCAGGTTTTTATATCCATACAACTGTACACGCTCCAGGAGTAACTGGGAATCTCAAGGCAGGTTGTGCTGCTCAGAGCCGTGTTGAAGATTGCCAGCAGGTCCCAGGCCAGCTTAATGGAGCTGAGCACGCTTCACTGTCTTAATGTTTATCAGCTTCCTCCTCTAATTTTGGGGTGAGAATGCAAAATCTCATGTTTTATTTTTTGAGGTAGGAATAAATGCAAAGCAGTGGACAATCTTATAACTACTTTCAGCGCTAAACCTGAATCTCCAAATCCTTAGCAAGTCCGTTTTTTGATTAAGATTATCCAACCACCACTTTCCATGAAAAGGTTAAGAACAGCATGTACTTTGGGTGACTTCAAGTGGTCTTGGAATGCAGATTCCAAACTAGAATCAGTGTTGAAGAAGTTTGACCTTTTTCCATAGGTAGTTTTGGAGTATGTGTCGTCTTGAAAGTTAAGGTTCACAGAAATTACCTTGTTCCTTCATTCTTTCCCCGCATTAGTACTGATCTTTATATCATACTGTTGAGAGCTACTAATTTCCTTAGATCCCCTCATAGATTAATCTGGGAAGGTCTTAACCTTTACAGACTAGAAAATTCTAGCACTTCTCAGCCTGGGAGGTCAGGTCAAATCAAGGGAAGCCCTTCAGTGGGCTTCAGCTGCTCCGTCTGCCCTCACATACTTGCCACAAGGAGATGCTACCTGAAAGCGCACGTGCGCGTACACCTGGTCCTGAGGAGCCGCTTCCAGCCCAGAAACAGCACTTTGCTACTGGGAAACTTTTTGATAAGCTTTGGAAAATGTAGGTGTGCTTCCCCCACCCCCTTCTGTAGCAATGGTAATAGTGGTTTTCATCCGTAGAATTCATGTTATAAGCATTTTCTTTTTTTTTTTAATCTTTATTGGAGTATAATTGCTTTACAATGGTGTGTTAGTTTCTGCTTTATAACAAAGTGAATCAGTTATACATATACCTATGTTCCCATATCTCTTCCCTCTTGCATCTCCCCGCATTTTCTGTCAGTTGAATCAATTGCTTGCTTTTAAAGCGAATCCAGAGATGCTGAGTGATTCCCTGCAGTTTCCTTCAGTGAGTAATGGAAGATATTCATCACAGGGGCTGTGCCTTCATCACGGGGGAGATGAAAGGGAACGAGAGAAGGGTTATAATGGTCTAATCCTCATCACTCCTCCCCTCCCTCCCCACCATAACAGATACTTTTGCCCCTTTCCCACCGATTTTGTGCAGGTTTAAAAATTTTTCCCATCAGCCTTTTTTTTTTTTTTTGCGGTATGCGGGCCTCTCACTGTTGTGGCCTCTCCCGTTGCGGAGCACAGGCTCTGGACGCGTAGGCTCAGCGGCCATGGCTCACGGGCCCAGCCGCTCCGCCGCATGTGGGATCCTCCCGCACCGGGGCACGAACCCGCGTCACCTGCATCAGCAGGCGGACTCCCAACCACTGCGCCACCAGGGAAGCCCCTGACTCATTCTTTTAAATATGGGTGTATCATATCTCTTTTAAATAGGGATGTACCATAATTAATTTTAAATTAATTAATTAAAAAATCCCCTATTTATATACATTTAGGTGGTTTTCAATATTTTGTTTTTACAAAATATGCTGTAGTAAATATCTTTACACATTCATCATCACTGTTATATACATACAGATATGGGAGAGATAGTCATCCTATTTTTATGTAAGTACAGTTGTTGAAGAGCTCTCATTTTATTTTTATAAATTTTCTTATATGAAATATGTAACTTAAAGGTGATTAAATCACGGATAGTACAGAGTGGAAACCTTCCATTCAGTCATTTTCTATTTTTGACTCCTTAGAAGATACCTTAAAAGACGAATAGAATGGACTTATTTCTATGTTTTTATGCCCTACCTTGTGTGGGAAAGGATGTGAAGTGGCTTCCAGGAATGAATGCAGTAAAATAGGAAGATAGAATTAACAATGGCTAGAGGAAGAAAAAAGGATAGAATAAAAGATAAGATGTTGGGAGGCGAGTTAATAAGTGCAGATATGTAAGCCATAGGATTTAAATTAATGTTTCATAATTTAGCTCTTAGTTGCTGCTAGCCAAAGGAAAAAGGGAAGTTTCATTGCTTATATAATTCATGTTGTTTGTTGGGGAAAAATCAAGCCAGTTATTTGGGGAAATTATGGCTTTTCCCACATATAGTACTGAAAAAAGACTTTCATGTGGTCTTCAGAGAGTGGGGTTGAATGATGCAGTGGAAGGGGCTACAGCAACGTTTTTATCATGAAGCAAGTGGTGGTTTTGTAAAGCTGTTCCATAGAAGAGCCTCCAACCTAAGAAGAGACCCTTACTCTAGAACTGCAGTTCATAGAAAACTATTTTACAAGCAGCTTCAGAAACGTTATACATACTTAGCTTTCTGATGACTCAGCTTGATTCAGCCCAGAATATCTAGCAGTGATGGGTGAACTGTATAGTACAGGGCTTTGGGTGGACAATTCCAGGTTAGACAAAAGACAGTGTCAAGTTAGGATCTCTGACAGTGTCAAGTTTGCTGTAATATTAATTAAAAGCTAGTCCATATATTTTTTCTTTTCTTTTTTTTTCAGCCCATGTATTTTAAAAATCAGTCAGCAGTTGATGGAATTGGTACCCAGAGGCATTGGGAATGGAATACAGATAGGTGTCTCCTAGGATCCAGTATTAGGAGGCTCTGCAAAGAAATCAGTGGGAGAATTTTTTGTATCAATTTTGTATGAGTTATTATTTTTGTATTCATTGAACATCAGTATAAAAAGTCATTACCATTTTGTATGTACTTACTCATTTTCATGCAAATTATAACTTGGGGTAATAGGTGAGGCACAAACATGGCTTCCAGGCATCATTTATCCTACTTATGCTGTTACTTGGAGTAAGGGCCAGTGAGCCCAGGAACAACAAAATCTTTGACCAGTGCTCATTTCCCCAAAGCTCCTGATTGTTATAGGTGTGCAAAAGAGCCCAAATGACCCTTAGTTTTTTTTTGTTTTTGTTTTTTGCGGTACACGGGCCTCTCACTGTTGTGGCCTCTCCCGTTGAGGGGCACAGGCTCCAGATGCGCAGGCTCAGCGGCCATGGCTCACGGGCCCAGCCACTCCGTGGTGTGTGGGATCTTCCTGGACCGGGGCACGAACCCGTGTCCTCTGCATCGGCAGACGGACTCCCAACCACTGCGCCACCAGGGAAGCCCAGACCCTTAGTTTTTATTCTAGTTCATCTGGATCTCATGGAGGGGTGCTTTAAATAAGCCACTGGGGCCTGAATAGACTCAAAGCAGAGTCTCATGTCACCGTCCAGACACAAACTTAACTTGTTTTCACTGGACTATGAGGAAAGGTTAATCCTCATGCACTCCTGAAGCTCCATTGGCAATGGAACCTGAAACTCTGGGATACATATGCCCTAGGAGAATCTCTCTCTCAAAAAAAGAAAAAAAAAAAAAGAAAGAGAAAGGCTCAACATGATGTGTCTGGAGAGGGCCCCAATCCAGTAAGTGCCCCATCTCCTTGGGAGAAACAGAGAAAGGGACTTTGAATGCCTTTCCCCAGAGATCAGCACCAACCAAGGATCTAACCTGTCTAAGAATTGTCACCCTGTATCAACCTGGAGGGGAGCCAAGGAGTTTACATCGCCAGGGCCAAGATCTTACATTTCTTTGTGAGAATAAATAAATGATCAGTTCTCAAATATAATAGAATGTAGCCAAGATAATTTCGCTTGAAAAAATTTCAAAGTAATATCAATCGCTGACCATAGAAAAATACTGTAGCATAGGCCTAATGTGATTGACAGTGCATCCCTGGGAATCTACCAGAGAAAACTGGTTTCAAAATATATATCTAGTTACTTAAAAATCATCAGTGTGTTACAAGGTATAGAGTTCAGTTAAGTAATATCAAATATAAAGAAATTTATATTTGTGCATTTTAAATTATATTTAGTGCATTTTAATGCACTAAAGCTTCATTTTCCAGTTTCATCACGTAATTACTACTAGTGCCTAGTTGAGATAATTATGGTCATAATATAAATACTAATAAAATTCCTAATAAAGCCAGCATAAAAGAGTACGTTACAGCCTAGATGTGATAATGTATTATTATGTATGGTAAAATAGTGTAGCTATCCATGTGTTATTACATATTCTTTCATAGATAGTCTCAAGAATTTTAGTTTTAACTTAGCCTGATGAAACACTGTTAAGTCAACTTGTTATTCTTACGTCTGATAGAAGGAAAAAGAGATATGAATAATCAAACTGGTTTCGTAGCTTTACAATATAGTAGTTGATTTTGTAGAAGAAACAGTTTTTCTCCAAATTATATTTAATTAGAAGCCCTCATTTTCTGCCGTATATTAACCAAAGGCTGGAGACAGCCTTGGTAGGTGTTAGATGCTGGGGAAAGCCAACCTGAGACTAAGAATCTGCTGTAGGTGATTTGCATGAGGATAGTCTAGAATCAAATAAATTTTAAAACTGAACATTTAGTTAGTATCTCTTTAATGGTCCTGTAGATTAATGCTATAAATTCTCCAAAACTGACATTGTTTTCCTATTATAACATCATCAGATCACAAGGTTAAGGTTGTCTTTTGTAAATATTACTGACTCATTCTGAACTTTTAGGAACTATGTCATCACAGTTTAAATTTGTGCTAATGTACACAAAAGAAGAAACTATTAGATATTTCTGGATTTATGCTTACTTTGCCAAAAACAGTGTTGTTTTTCAAAAATCTCTAGCCTTGTTTTTATAGATCAGTTTTCAAACTCAGTTTCTATGAAAGATCCCTAAATGGTCAAAGGTGTGTGTTTTTAGCACAGAGACTAACTCCTTGGATAGATTTTCCGAACATAAGCTTCCTGCCACCCAAAATATTTTTCTAAAGCCTTTGTTACCTCCTATTTTATTTTAATGTTGATTTTGTAGGTACTTGGTAACTGTCTGCCAAGGGCTTTCATGCCAACAAATAGCAAATAATAGAAAAACACAAATCGCAGCTCATGCTTAAGTGTGTGTTTTTTTTTAAATGTACATGGATGTTTAGAGTTGATTTTATATTATGTAACTTACTGTGGCAATAGTTTCTA